AAGACTAGACTCATGGACAGACTGACAATACAGCCCCAGGCCTTGCTTCCAGTGTTGAAAAAATATAAAATGTGTTGTAGATCTCTCACACATTTCTCTGCGTAGTTTATCATGTTTTTGAAAAGCATGCAGTTTAAGAAACGTACAAGGTGTCTATGTCCTCAAATATTCTTGCAAATCATCTCAGTTGGTTTTGTTCTACTTCTTCATTCTCTTATACATAGCCTCCTCAAGTCTCAATCTTCCTTTCTGTATTTCATCGAGAAGATAAATGACAATTACATAAGCCCAGAGTGGTAAATTAGATCAGAGCTTCATGCCCACGGTTGATGTGATAACAGCAGGGGAAACATTCCAGTGCACAATATGTGTAAATAATGAATGTGTCTGAAGACAAATATTTGTTTTGGCTTTTCTTCAGATTGACGGAGAGGAGGAGAAGAGACGTTTCGAGGAGGGCAATGCACGTTACCTCCAAAGTAAAGCGAAGAGACTGGCGGAGAAGGAGCGCCAGGAGTAAAGCCGCTGCTCTCAGGAGTTACATCTGCAAACACATTATATCAACCCCACTCAGCAGTATGAAGGGAATACAAGCCTTCTCTCTGGTTCTGTAATTGTAGTCTCTTTTTAACCAAAGTGTCCAAATATGGCTGTATATGTATTTTTAAGAGAACATCTTTTATTCTCGGGAAATTTTTATTGATGTGTCACAGTCAGTGCAGTGACAGTCTGACTGTAGAAGTAAGAGTACTATTTTATTTTAAGACGATTTGTAAGTATGAAGACTTCATGATCGGTGTCGGTGCAAAGTGATAGTCTGAGCGCAAGGAAAATGATGAATAAGTGAGTGAATAATAATGAATAAAATATCCAAGCGTAAGTCTGGGGCCCTCGCCTCGCGTCTTTTCTAGTTTGATGGTGATGATGTCATTGTCTTGGGCATGCCTTGGCAGAGAGGGCACACGCTATCCATCTTTTCAGCACTGTGTCTTTCACAGAGGAATCAGGGGAGCTCGGGGGGCTTTGACTCAACTCGCATCTCTCCCACGCCCGCCCTTCCCCCTCTCCTCTCCCCCCCTCCCCTCTGCTCTCCTCCTCGTCTGCCTGTCTGTCACACTGTGACTCCAGCGTTCGCTCTGCCTTAACATGCTCTCATTTCCCTCGCCTGCTTACCATCACGTCATCATGTGTCTCCTTTCGTTTGTGATGTCTATTTTTTCATTCTCTCGTTCACTCTATTTGTCCCTCTGTCTCCACATGAGATATGAGAACAAGCATGTTACCTGGGTTTGTGCACAGAGAAAGGTTAGAAAGATTAATCAAATTAGAACTCATTATCCATATGGCCACGCTGTGATTATTACCCGCCATAAAAACTATATACTTAAATATAAAGCAGGATTGTTGTTTTCATTTGGGTATTTAAAAGACTCTTCCGTACGAGTCTGTAGGCTTCATTCCTGTGCAACAGATGGCGGAGTCTAATTTGAGATTAAAAGCAAAGTGAAATTCAAAGACTAAAGCCCTGTGAGTGAGCTCTGTGAAGAACAAAAGAGACACACAGGTCCAATCATCAGAAAAATGCCTTTATGTGTGGACCTTTGTTTGTCCTCTTAATGTTTTGCTCACACAGACAGAAACTGATTTGTCATTGCATCTTGAAGGTTATTGTTTTTCCCTTGCTCCCTCCAGCACAGTATGTCTGCTTTTCATTCCCCCATGACAATAAAGTTAGTCTCAATCTGCACCTCAGGGAATACATCTATTTTTAACTCCAATGAAGTTGAGATATCTTGTGGGAGAAGGAGAGCACAGGGAGTAAGAGAAGGAAAATCGGAGATGCGAGCCGTCTCAGATGGCAAGACTTTTGAGCTTATTTAAAAAGTACATGTTCCTAATGCACACCATCAGCGCAGGTTATTCTGACTCTCCCTGTCCAGAAAACATTTGATTTCCCAACATTCACTTGAATGCTCATTACTGTCTTCGGCCATTGCAGCTAGTAGCATCTAGCTTTCATACAAAGAGACACAATGTGGTAACCATGGTTACTTATGTGGAAGAAAAGACTTGAAATTGAAAGAGATGACATTATCAGGAATAGATGTTTTTCTTGCAGGGAAACATTTAAATAAATCCAGCTGCACATCAAGAACAATGATTAGGGCAATGGTACCAGAGGCCTGTCAAATTGATTATGCCTATCAGACAATAATGTAAAAAAAACTTGATCTTATGTTTTTCATGTCTTCGCATCCAAATTAGGGGCCTATAAACCCCCCCTGAATGATCCCCTGGTGCAGGAGAGAAAACATTTAGCAGTCTTACGGAAGAATAAACGATAAAGCGAAACGCTTGGAAGCGTCTCCATCGTCCGTCATTTTCTGACAGCAGGAACAAAACTTCACAACATGAGACGAGACCCAGGGACCTGAACCGTGTGAACGTCAGATGTGGAAATAAGTCTGCCAATATTCGTACGTTGCTCTGCTTCTGTTTAGCTTGTTGGCAGAAGTTGCAGATGCTCAAAAAGACGTCAGACTCACAGAGTAAACGGTTGAACAGATCAATGTTTCTTCTCTTTTTTGTTGTCAAAATGTTTTGTTTGTGCTTCCTGGAACACCTTCACAGAACAGTGATGTGAGTCCTGCATTCAGCCCTCCACTATTATCTGGGCTCGGAGCCAGGAAGGCTTTCCTTTGCAGAGAAGTAGGTGATGGGGTGTACTTTGTCTGGCCTGGAACCTCCCTTATTGTCAGCCACTGGGGACTTCTGGATTCTAAAAGAGCACATGAGTAGGACATTCAAAGTAGTGTTAAGTTTTAAACAACTGGTGTGTGTGTGTGTGTGTGTGTGTGTGTGTGTGTGTGTGTGTGTGTGTGTGTGTGTGTGTGTGTGTGTGTGAGAGAGAGATGGAGCTGACGGTGAGAGTGGGGGCAGCCCGGTGCCAGCGCAGCCAGTGGGCGGGAATGCCTTCTGTTACTTTTTACTTCCAGGTCACCAAGCATCACAGAGGAGAGGATAGAGATGAGTTGTTCCTGTCCTATCTCTAATGATAGCCTTATTTAAGTCCAAAGGTACAAAAAGTAAGCATCTGCAACACGTTATCCACACACCATCATACCCAAGAAATATGTTTGATGTCTTGACCTCAAGCATTCATCAAGTGTGGAAGGCACCTATTATAATTCTGTTAATGTATCGCTTATTCATGCACCCTCTGACCGATTTGCTAAAGCAGAACTGACTCACGTTACACTGACAACTTAATAATGACTTTTTTTTTCAGACAGTAGATTAGGGCCAGCTCGCACAGATGCATTCAAATATAACAGTGCAGTTCACTAACTCATCGGTTTGGACATTATGTGTCGATTCAATTGTGCCATTCGCTCAAAACGTTGCTTTAAAAATGTGAATATGCCATCCTTTGTTCTGTTTCTCTCACACATGCACCCACTTTCAACTGCAGTTCTCTCATCATGACTTTTATAATAATCTTGGCGTCCTCAGCTTCTGCACCTTTACATGTTTTAAGAAATACTAAAAAAAAATGGAAGCAAGCATTACCTTTTGCACCTCAAATCATTAACACAGACGTATCATCTGTTTATTCATTTTTACAGCTGCAAAATGAGCTGGGTTTTATGAGTTTCTCCACACATTGACCCTCTGAGGAAGCTTTGTTCAAGCACAATCAGTGAGAGATCTGCACCATAACATCACAACTTGACTGTTGGGGTGCAAAGGTTGCAGTTTAATGTTTGTAGTCAAAAATGCAGTCTTTTTATTACCTGGGACCTGTTTACATTGCAGCTATTTCCACTTACCTTACAGAAAACAGACACAATGATGGTCATTGCAATAAGGTCCAACAATGCAAATAACACAAGTGCTCAGACAACCAAATTAAAAATCTCCAGTTTTATCGCAATTATCCCAATATAAACCACCAATTGTTTTCAAGTGAAATAAAAGTTGAACGCCCCAAACTGTTTGCTTAAAATATCTAATGCACACAAAACTGCATACTGGAAGCCTTTAAGGGAAGATATTACAACATTTGATAACACAAGAAACGTGTATATTTTGTTTTCAATGTCTTTAAAATCAGTTGATTCTTTCTGTCCATGCTAACAGGTAAACGTGTATTCAGTCAGTGCGTTGTTTCTGTTGCGTCCCCATTATGTGATTTTAATAATGACACAATTGTAAACCTTAAGGCTGCAGTGTACAGATTTAAATATTGATTGGATCAGATATAAAACTGAGGGGAAATTCCCCAGCCTATCTGAGTTTCTGGAGGATCTCTCCTTTAAAGGCTCACAGATACTGTACATACTGGCTATATTGCAGAAATATATATCTGTTTTATTGAATGAGAAGCAGGGAGAGCGAGCTCCTCAGATGAACCATTCGCAAGATACATAACAATGAAAATAATCCTTATAATAGTGGCAGAAACCAAGTCACCAGGGACCTCTTTGTGTCTTCTCTCGTGTAGGGCTTATTAGTTTTCTCACTGGGTACAATCTAGGCCCCGAGGGAGGAAAGCTGCTCTTACAGAGTCATCCAGGGAAGGATTCTTACATAACAAGTCGTATAATGTCAATGAAAAGGGCCTATTTAAAAAGGAGCATGAATAACACGAGGGAAAAACTGCATTCATTGATATTGGAGGTTCAATGAAGAGGTCATTTAAAACATTTGGACAGAGTAAATGGATGCTTATGCAAATTAGATTAAAACTAGCTGCAATACTGTTGTCATCTTATTTTTTTATGTTAATGATATAGGCTGCATTCTGTTTCATATGAGACCTTTAAAGACCAATATTCCATGTTCATGGATTCAAGAGTGTTTTTTAATTCAAAGTAAATAAGCAACATGCAGGAGCAGTTCTCGCTCTGTCAAAACGCCGACCCCTTTTCCATGAATTATTTCTTATTGCGGTTTACTCCCACGGCTACTGAGCGTCTGACCCGCGCACGAGCCTGTGCTGTCGGGAGCGCGCAGCAATCATTCCTCATCCGTCGCACGCCTCGCCAGCATCGGAAAATGGAACAATAAATTCGCCTTTTATCTAAAAGAAAATACCGGCTCTTTTAGCTCTCGTGGTTTCGCAAGATTACCCGCTTCGTGGTTGAAGAAGCTGACATTTTGTGTCCATAATTAGTATTTCCCCCCCCCCTCTCCATTGAGACAAAGAGGGCAAAAAGATACAAGAGGAGTACAGCTGTGGTGTTTCAGGGCTCATCCTTCATTTTCGCTGGTCATTTCTTTAAGTAACCTGCCGACACTCCTGACGCTGAGCAGTTTGGGGAGGTAAACGACAGGAAGACACTTCAGCGGACCTGAACCGATGCCACTGTGTTTTCATTCCCGGAACAATGAGCCCGATAGGAGCCTGAAACATCTCGTGAAACATCTCGTGAAAGGTAAGAGGAGACTCGCACAGCTGTTTCTAATCAGCCACTGATTAGCTCATTTTGACTTGGGTGTAGGAAAACGGCTTCACCCGAACAGGTGGTGTCCTGCAGCACAAGCAGCTCAACTGATGACAGAGAAAAGTAAAATAATCAAATTGAATTAAATGTTACATTCCTGTGGACCTTACATGCATATCTGACCTATTTCGAGAGAGTATCTTTGTACTCAAATTGCATGCACGACCAATGTGAATGAGTGAGTGACCTGATCGAATTGCAAACATAAGGTTACACTGAGTGAGTGAGAAGCCTCCTTTTCATTAAACCTGTGTGGTGTTGATTACTAGAAATGGCCAGGCTTATGTAGAGTAATTCAAGCGAAAATGCACTAGTAATTGGAACAAATTAGTCTAGACTATATGCAGTTTTCACATATCATCCTGCAAAACACACAAAAGAGGGACATGCAAACTTATGAAAGGAATTTCTGCAATGTGTTGAGCAAACATCTTAGCAAAGCTTTACACCTCTTGTTTTTATCAATACAATTCTAGGCTTTCTTGGGGTTTCCTTTTAGCTTTTTTTCCTCAAAAGATAATTTGCAATATTCAAATCTGTGTGATTTGCTGATATTAAACCTTAAAATGAAGCTGCTCAAAAGAAAAGAAGGGTATTTGTTTGTCACGAGAGATTATTTAGATACAACAATGGTGAGTGTAGCCACATATTGACACGTGTTACATTTTTAAATAAATTGCTTTCACCATGCATATCATCTAAATGTATTTGTGGCAAAGAAATACAACATAATTGCCTCTTGAGTTTTACTAATCTTCAGACAACTACTGACACAAGTACAGCAAGATAACTTATATTTAGCTTTAAGAGAAGTCCTGCTTTAATCTTGCAACTTAATTTAGTGCCATGATGACAAAAGGCAGAGAATGAGCAGGCAGTTGAACTAATATTTAAATACGTTCCCGTGGAGAGGTCAGGGCAGAAGCAGAGGAGAGAGTGGATCACATGCAGTGGCAGGGCACAAAGTGGCCGTGCAAGCCAATGATCACATGCACTGCTCAGAGAAAGTGCTGTAGACCACATGTGACAGTAGCTGCTACACCACAAAGCCTCACAACAGACATCTCAGTGTTTCACGGGGCATGTGTGACATTTTGTTTGTCACACGTTTGGCTCTGTCATTTTGTGACCGCGTTAGCCCGTGTTCACACTGTTTTACTTTTATTTGACACAAAACACAACAAAGTGCATCCCCTTGTTCAGAGTGATATGTCAATGTAGCATTAAAGACCATAAGTATTTCGAAAATATAATATGGACTCTTCAAGGCCCCTTAAATGTGATGCCTGTTTCCAGTACAAAGTCCAGAGCTCCTGCCATATGGTGCCCAGTGGTCCAGCTACAGTCATAGCTGGAGGTAGCCTAAACAGGAAGAGAGCCTCTAGGGTTACATTTGTGATGGAAAATTCAACTACTTACTCCATGACAAGCCATGCTCTCGGCAAAGAAAAAGTGCTTACGATGCGCCTCAGTAACATCAAGCACCATGTTGGATTCTGACCTTTAAATACCTTTTAACCCATTAGTAAATCCTTCGGAACAATTGACACCGATTGCACCATTACGCCTGGTAATCTTATATTTACCACAGCTTTGTGCTACTGGAAAGTCAGGTGAAGGAATTATATGTTTTCTAATGACTGAACAGAGTTTAAAGGGCCCTATTATGCTAATTTTCAGGTTCAAATAACAATTTTTTGTCCCTTCTGTGACATGTTTACATGCTTTAATGGTCAGAAAAGTCTTTATTTGTTATCATACTACCTGTGCTGCAGCACCTGGTTTCGCCCTCTGTCTGAAAAGCACAGCCTTCTCTGATTGGATGTTAGCCTTTACAGACCATTTTACATACATAAACCTATATAACACACTACAGGAAGGGGAAAACCCCCAAACAACATTATAGGGCCTCTTTGGGTGTATCACTAAACAACTGTGGAAGAAAATACCCATTGAGGATGTGTTGATGAAAGAGCACAACAGAACCAATGTCCCTGCACTGCAAAATCCAATTAGAGCTCAAGTTTTAGATTCCCTATTTATGGCTCCTTCAGTTTGGCAGAAGTACCTAGGAGCATAATGCTATTGATATTATTTGATGGAGTTTTAATTAGTGCTTATTAATCTAATGCTATTTGAAATGTTTTGAATCCTGTTTCACTGAGATCTACTTCAATCAGTGTTTGCAGCCTCATTAGAAACTCTCTCCTAAACCTGATTCATTAATGACTGATGGATGCCTTCCCCACCTTTACATTGTAGAAATAATGGGCATATATTTGATTAAAGAATAAATTAGAACAAAAAAAAAGGACTAATGTTTGTCAGTCTTTTGATAGGGAGACTATTAAGTACGACACGTTGTAAATCTAAAAAGGGACCCGTTGGCAACATTGATCAGAGAGAGGGGCCAATAATTCAATAATTTGCCAGTTTGATGTATAATGTCCAGCAGGAGGATATAGATCCAATAGAGAAATGGTCTTAGCTTACCTCTCTTGAGGTCAAGGTCTGATAAGCACTGTTGTAGTAGCTGGTCGTGTTTCTTTGACTCTGTTGGGAGAGAGCAGGCGGCTAACCTCTCCGCCTCCCTGCTGTGCATTAGTGAGATGCTGGGATTAAACGGAATGGGCATTTGCTCACAACATATTGTTGTTGTTTCAGCCTTTGAGTATTAATTCTTTTGCATATTTGATGTCTGGTGTCACATGCTGTACAGTAAGTAGATACTTTACAATGACAGCCACTGAGCAAAGTTACTAACCACAGGAAGATTATTATACACTTTATCAAATGCACATTGTCATCTTTCATCAAAATTCAGAGCCATCCAACTCGGATAAACTGGGCTTTCAAGGCAATGTTTCATTCATAGTAGGAACTATACCAGCGACTGCACTTTGGCCCTCTGATAGCCCAATAGACTGGGGCAGAATGCTGATGTGAACAGAAGGCTCAGGGAAAATGGATTAAAGGAGCTTTTATGTTCCTGCCTGAGACGGACACAGTTTCTTCTATCGATGAGGCTGGTTCAGTCTCTATTTGGGCAGTTCAATATTCCTAATTGTAGATAAACTGTTGTTATATTGCAATGTACATGGCGTAGATGTCGAACATTATTTTGGCAATGAGAAACGTACAGACTGAACTCTGAAGTACTTCCTTCAGTAAACAAACTATAGAAGATGAATGTGTTTGCTTCTTGTTTGTTGTCCTGGTGTATAAGGCTCAGTTTTCTAATGATGATGTCTTTACTAAAAAGGAGCAGAGTATTTTGGAAAATGTAGGGACATTGTGCCAGTATTCTTTCATGTCCCCTTTTGGAAGTGAGTAAAATTGACTTAATATGAGAAATGACACACAAGGACTGATAGTAGACCAGTACAATGACAAAGCAGTCACTAATCCACAGTTCTTAATATTTTACATTTTTATATTTACTTCATAAACATGCAGTTAGTGTGATCCAAAGTTTGTTGTCTGCTGAATGTTTTCTTCAAGACTGATGCAGTTGCTATGTTACACATGAAGAGATTCAGACTGGTGCCAGTGCAGTGGAGCAGAGCGCCTCATGTGATGGTGGTTCACCAGTGGCCGATCTTCTGAAGGGACGATAAGGACATGTCAGAGACCGGTGACACAATAAGCCCTCTGGCTGTCTTCAATGTGACCACAGTCCTGGTTTAATGGATTTTGACTAGGAAGGTCATGCTTTTTCTAAAAAGTTGAGCTGCGAGCTGATAAAGTTTGTTAAGTATATTCAGAAATCAGCTACTTCGCTGTAATGCAGCCTTTCCATTTAGAAGAAGACACCTTTGCAATATTACAATATTCAAAATCTAAGAAAAAAATATATTAAGCATCATATCACGTTATCAATATAATATGGATATACCTCCCAGCCGTACTGCTTCCTCCTTTGGGTACAGAGCCCAGCGTGAACACTGAGAGGAGACCCACAGTGGAAACAGGAATCTTGATAGACTTTAATTAAGCCTTGGCTAGTTTAAGGCTTTGGTATGGCATATTGAATGAAACCAGACATAATTAAATATGTAGACAGATAGTAAAGTAATGAGGTCATAGAGTAGAAAGGCACTGGAAATGACACTCAGCCGATAACCAGTGGGAACGACAAGCTGACGTGGATGAAATACTTTTTTAACTTAGTCAAATTCATTTTATTTTACGAGTCTTTTCTGTGTTTGTGTTCAAGCCAGTCCTGCTGGTCATTTTTCATGCAAGGAGGAACCTCTCCTGGACTCTCATTGATAACTACATAATGAGCACTCACTGAGGATGAGTAAGATTGATGGTGTTTTGGCTTCTGAGGGCCGTTGTCATCCCTCATGCGGTGAACGAGAGCTCTACGCTTGCACTTTGTGGACGACACCATGCATCATTCCTAAACTGGCTACAACAACAATATATCCTTAGGGATAAAGTGTGTGCAAGGTGTTATATACATAACCATAGTATAAACAATTGTATATATCATTTATTAGTTATTGAACTCCTCAGATAAAATGATACTAAGTAGAAATATCAATTTTGTCCTGTGTAATTGTTGGAATATATATGTGTCATAAATCGAATGATCGTATTCTGACAATCTCAATTGTTGTGATCATTTCTGTGTCCTTAACGGCTGTTTTCATACTAGGAGGCTTTGTCTCTGAACATTTTTCATAACCTCTTAAAAGCAGAAAGATTTGATCCACACAAAGAAGAAATGCAAAGAAAACGTTTTATATTTTGACATCAAACATCTGAGGTGCACAGAGGTCAGAATAATTGTTAATAGCATTTCTCCAGGATAATTAGTAAACATCTTTACAACCCAATAATTAGGTTTAATGCCATTTATAACATTGAGATGATTTTGTTAATGATAATTGATCATGTTCACAAGTTTGTAGCTGTCCTGGTTT